GATTGAAATTGATGAATTTTATTTACTTTAAATATACAAGAAACCGGATATTTATACTGTATGATAATAAAATATAAAACAATATTTTTTAAATTAAACCAGCAAAACGAGCTAAGAAACAACGTTATCACATTAAAATTTGCCCAAGACCAATTATGTTTAATACAAATATATAATTATAGAAATATAAAACCACGTTTGAAAATAATATCTGTTAGACGTGTTAATGTAATTAAAAATGTATTTTTTAAAGTTTCTTAAACAAAAATATATTATGATAATTTTATTTAAAACCAGCTCCCGTACTTATATAAGTCCTTGGCTAAAATTATAGTCTTATTATTAGTGTTCTATTTGTTTTAATAAAACCCAAAGGGAATTTAACTTAAAACTTGTTTAGTTTTAACATCAACTTTGGTTATAGCACAATTAACATCAAGTAGATATACAATTATTTCGATGGTGCTCAGGAAAAACTGGCCAAGTCTAAAAGTTGGAGTTTTCAGTGTTCAAAAATTAAAATTCAAAAGCATAAAATAAATAGGTAAGACAATGGCCTATTTTTCATAATCGGATGACGACTGATAAAATCGTTGTTTGTCTTAGATCGTTTTACCCATGACACCGTAAATTTTTTTCTTAAATCTAAGTATACCATGAATTTTGGCAAATTTTAGAGTTGGCCAGTTTTTCCCGAACACCGTCGATTTATGTTTAAAAAAATATACATTTAATAATAGTAAGTACTGTAAAATACTTCTTGTAATTGAGTTATGAAAAAAACGTTATAAGCCATGGATTAAATTATTATGAAGTAATTAGAATTAAGATTTTAAAATATTAAATAGGCGTTGTTATACTATAGAAACATCAAACACAATGAATAAATACTTTTTACAATTTACCATATTTATTCTCTAAATATTCGAGTTTTGAATTGAGTAGTTGAACAGTTTTTGAGATAGTATCTATTACGTTATTTTCGAAATGTTCGATATCCTGGTTCATCTATGTAAAAAAAACAAAAAAATATCATTATAGATTAATTATTTGAAAAAGTATTATTAAATTAATTTCATTTCATTATTTTGTTGAATTACTAACTCCTTTCATGAATAATCTAAAGTATATACACACGTCTCAGGTTTATATTATATATTACCGTTGTCGCCTGTTGGATTACTACATAATAAATAGTCAATCAGAACTTGTTATGAACATTTTTTAAATTTTATTTCTAAATAAGATTATGAAATTGTGGTTAGATGTAAATAAACCGCATATGAGACAGAGGTCTCAAATCAAGACTTACTTAAAATATAGCTAAAGTTGGGACACAATAAAATGTGTAAATTAAATAATAGTTCTTATTCAATTATATAACAGCATTGAGTGTATATATATTTAATGATAATAGTTATGCCAACTAAAAGTAGTCTGATGTATAGTTGCATTAATAAAAAAAAATAGTCTTCTTATTTATTGTTTATTGATTTAATTAGTTATTTGTTTGTTCATTTATCCCAACAATAAATTGATTGTGCCCCGGTAATAATAAAACCGTAATTATTGTTTATCCAACTATATACTGTTCATTCAAATCACTTACTATAATATTGTATAGTTTCTAAAACTTACCTGGACGTGGTTGAGATCTATGTCTTCGGTTGTGTCTACAATTCCAGTGATTCCAGCGGAATCGCCCGACATATTAAGTTCGCCCATCCCAGGAGCACCGATTACTGTGAAGTCAGTTAAGGGCAAACGACCGTTATCGTGTTTTCCCCTTATAACGTTCTACAATTAACGAAATACCATTTATTTGCAATCACTGCATTGATTATTATTACACGCCATCCATTATTTAGAAACTAACTCGCATCCGGACAGTATCAGACCCGTTAAACTTCAACTTGACTTTTTCGAATCCGCTACTATACACAATAGCTTTTAATACGACATTTAAAACTTGAAAGTTAAGATTGCTCTGGAAAAAAAAAAACAACTAATGTCAGCAAATGTCAAGACGATGCACAATGTCGTTCGGTCTTACGTTCGACGACCCTACGGCCAAATCCACTAGCTTGGGCAAGTCGATTAGCATTATATTATGTTTGTCTAATTGCGCTAAAAACCTGTCCCGAATTAAAACTGTTACTTTTTGAAAATATGATATTATGTTCAACAGTTTGACTATGGTTAAATTTAATAAATATATTCCTAAGGCAATAATCAAATTTAGCATACTACTCGAATTATTAATAATAGCCAGAACAAAACATTCTTACATAAACATATATCTCATACACAACCGTAAGTGCTCTATATAGCTTAAACGAATAATTACACTTTAACAGCTTTAGCACTTCAGCGCTGAACTTTTGAAACTTAAATGCACTTAATTTAACTGGGATTAACTTAAACTTTAAACGTATCTATATTATATTTAATTAACTTTTTAAATTAAGAAAAATTCGCTGAAAATTTTAACTAGTCGACAATCTCGGTTTTGATTAAATACTTTCGAAGTTCTTATAGAGTTTTAAGTTTAGAACGAGAGCTGGAGTACGATTGGCCAACTCCAACTTTCACCTCGTCCTGAACTTTCAACTTTCTGAAATTTTAAACTGGAGGATAGTACAATATAGAGAGGGAGAGTACGTGGCATTGTGTGACAATCGCCTCGTATGCAAAGGGCCTTAATATTTAAAAAAAATTATTTTACAATTATCAGATAGTACCTGCTGACGAGAAGACGTGACAACTGATCACTACAGTCGCAGACAAATTTGATTTTTATGTGCCTTGTGTCATATATATTATGTTTTTTTTAACCCAGTGACAAAGCGTCGTGTGAGACAATGAGACGATGTCTACCCACTTAGAATATGCGGACTAATGATTTGGTTTTACTTCATTTAAATAACAAATATTTTTTTACAGATTTCAATGAAAAATATATATTTTATTTCAAACTTTTTTCTTGTTATCGTATTCCTAGAATAGCGTAGTTAGAATTATTTATATTTAAAAGTATTACTATTGGTACAGTACACGCCATCATCATTTAAATATTCCCGAAAGAAACGCTTTTACTTACGCAACATTATGTGGTAATACTCAGGTGAAAAAATGTCATTTTTCAATAAAGTCATTTTGAAAAAGTACAGCATTTCGTTAAAGTTTCGAGTGCGATTTGATATATTTGTATTGACTAACCACCATCAACATATTTTATTGGAATTTCGATCAATCGAAAAGCCTATTCTATTAGTGACATCTCAACATTTAGAAATGGGATAATGCCAGAAATAATGCCTTTGAGAACGGTATTGGTGGGGTAAAGTTCGAATTGAATTTTTGTAATGTACCATTTTTAATTGAATCCTACTGGATTTTTATCAGTTATTTAAATATTGCTTCTGTTCCTACTTATTTATTATTTGTAATATATAGTTTTTCAATTAATGTTGTATTGTTGTATTTGATCTACAAATATCTTACGAGTTATGTATAAATTGTTAATATAAATCATAATAAAGTATTTATTAATTTTGTATATACATTATTTCATAATATAATAATTTACATAGTCTTGTTGCATAATTTGTTAAGTAACACAAAATACATTTTGTATTTAAAATAAATTGCCATATTGTAATTTTTATTTTCAAAAATTTATAGAAAAATAATATTTATTAATATTATTTAAAATAACCAATGTATATAATAAATGCTCATTTAAAGTTAATAACAAAAGGTCTACTAAATACTAACGTTGTTAGTGAAAACCGAAAATATAATTGTAAATTATATAATTTGTCAATAATTATAAAATATCAATTTACTTGAAAAAGTTGTTCAGTTTTGTATTTTACGTACTAGATAATGTTTCCGAAAATACTTTAAAATAGTCCTTTTACTAGGATCTTTAAAATAGGTTTTATCTGTAAACGGCAAAGGCGCAGATTTAGAAAACAAACGACAGTGGGGTTTTTTGTATAACTGGTTTTCTAAAGCATAATAGCCATAAAGTAAATATTTTAAATTTTGTTTTAAAGCCGTTAAAATAAAACTAACTTTAATTTTCTCCTATTATCAATTAATTATATAATAAATCAAAACTAAAATGCACTTATTTTAATATCGTATAATAACTGTAGTTCGTAGATAAAACAAATTTTTTATTTTATTTACTATTGAATACTCTGAAGAGTAGCCCTTTTTATTACGGCAACAAGTAACAACAATTAACTGATTTAGTCCGTTAAGTCGAGTTGAAAAAAAATAAATTTATTTCTAAATTATTTTAAATCTAAATTTTCATAAACTTAATTTATATTTTGCATAACATTTTCCATTGTAAAATATATTCTGTCTATAGTCCTATTTAAAAACTGTTTTGATAGTCTGATAAATGCCATCCATTTAATGTTAACACTAAATAGCATAAATCAAATTTCTAACCCAATTAAATAAAAACAAATAACAATTATTAGTGACATCAATACGAGTCTCGTTTTATTAGTGTGACTCAGCAAATCGTAGTTTTTTATTACAACCGACAATTTAATTTTAATAACTTTGCATTCAACTTTTCGTAGCATTCATTAAGCTCCAATACCTCTATTAAATAATACAAATATTCTTCCTTAGAATACAGTAAACATTTAGTGTCGATTGACTATTTATTTATTTCCTTACAAACAAATTCTAAAATTGTGATTATTTGTTTATTTTCAAAATTAGGTAGTTAAAAGAAATTGCCTCCTTAACTTGTGTCTAGTTATCCAAATTTCAAAAGGCAAATTTATTTATCTTTAGAATAATATGTACCAACAATATAACATCTAAACCAATACAGTACAAACTATGCCATTCACAGTTTTGTATCAGTGTTTTTAATAATTAAGACCTTTAATTAATTTTATGTGAATTATTAATGAACACTGAAAACACAAAAAAGAAAATAAGTAAATTCTTTTCTTTTCTTTTTTATTTGTAAGTATATTTAATAACACTGACAAACATATATTTAAATACAAAAGTTCTACTCTAAATAAGAAGTACCCAAAAACAAGAAATATTATAGCGGAGCGCAACGAAACATTATATCAGCCGGTAGCCTAGAAGTAAGAAACTCTAATTCATTTCTGCCTCCCGTTTTCTGTAGCCATCTTTTTTCTTCGTAATAATCTAGCATGTTGTTGAATTCAATTTTGTCTAATTCAGGAACCAAAATTGGTATGAACGGGTCTATTATTTGAAATCCCTTGGAAAATAATAAAAGGCAATTAGAAAAAAATATATATTTTGTGCATATGATCTACAGAATTAATGTTGCCTAGTTACACTAGCTTACTTGACGTCCAATGAGGTATAACGGTAGGTGAGACTCTCTTTTAGTGTTTAATGCAGCTCTAGGAGATGTAACCATAACAATTGCACCATTGTTCTAAAAATAAAATATTCAGTATAAGGTATTATTTTACATTAATAATAATATAAAGAATAGCGTTTATAGCGTGAAATGGAAAAATAATAATTTACCCAATCGCTTTTTACAGCCGATAATCCTGCCTGGACCATTGTAGTTTGTTGTGGAGTGACTTTGACTCGATCTTCTGTTTTTAGGTCAGTCTTTTCATTGAAGAAGGCATTGAAACCATCTATTGCCACCAACATTTTACACCTGTGTTAAATTAGAATAATTTAATATAAAATCGGCTTTAAAGTTATTACACACTATGGCGCACAAGCATAGTTTAAATTTATTTTAAATGTTTTAAGCAACAAGATAGCACACGTCTTTTTTAACAGTAGAAACATTATATTAGGATTAAGCTTATTTTGCAATCGACGGAAACATTATCATTACACAAATATTAATGTCGTGGTTGTTGTAAAATGTAGATGTGTTTAATACATAGATGAAAGACGTGTACATCACAAAAGATAAGTATGATGAGTGTTACTTAAATAATTAAAACCTTTTAATTTGAAGTATAAAGCTTTTAAAACATAATGTATTAAATTTGTCAAGACATTTTTTTTAAATTTTTAATTGTTATTAAACATTTTTTTTTCTAAAAAATGAATTTTGCCTTTTACTGTTTCACTTATCTAGAAAGTTATGAATGAATGTTTATTTTATACTTTAATACCTAAATTCATTCATAAAGAAAATCAGTTTTTAATTTTTTTATACATTGTTTAAAAACTTTTTATTTCAATTTTTTCAATGTTTTCAAGAAAAATCCTAATTTTACCGCTATTGTAATAGGCATTGAACTCTACTTAACTGCTTAGGTGAATTGATAATTACCAGCGAGTTTTAAACTTTAATAAATAATAATAAGAAAATACTATTTTTTATTGAAAATTCAAGTGAATAATGTACATTTTGAACAGTATTAAATATTAGATAGAAACAATAAAATGGGTATTTTAAGAATTTTAAAATATAATTGTTTGAACAATATATTATTCTTATAACATATCTAAAATGTTAAATTAACAAATCCTTTAAAAAAATATACATTTTGCCTCAGAAATTCACACTACCAAAACTTTTTATTTTGGCTGTGTTACTATTCATTGAATAAATACAAGGCAAATTATTTATTATAAATTACTTCAAGAATTAGATGTAGTGTCTATTCATGATAAGTACATTTGAATATCATTTATTTATTAACCAATTTGTTTCCCCACACAAAATTGATTTTTAAAGTTAAAACTTATTAAAAAGTTTATATTAAAATATTACACAATTTTTTTTTACTATTGTTGTATTAAATTAATAATAAAACATATAGTCTAATATCATACTTGTTATTTGTACAATGCATTTTCAATTCATTTAATAGAATATCCATAACATCGCATGCATATTTAGCTCGATTGATTCCATGAGTGATTAAGTCTTGCAATGTGCTTCCATTTGGTGTGGACTCTCGTATACTCCATACATATTCTTGACTGGTTGTGAGCTTGAAGACAAAAATAATGTTTTATTTATATCAATGTTCGACATATATAGGAGTGTATGTTACACAATTAAACTAAATAATAACTTACGTTTAGATCATTTAATAGGTCTTTATTTTGATGTAAGAAATGTTTTAGCCATTGTGCTGCTATTAGCGGCATGTTAGCAAACCCTTCTTTTGTTGAAGACCAGGTAACTTCTTTACGTCCATATTTAAGCCAAATTGGTACTATAATAAACACAATACATTAAAAAGAAAAATACATTTTTTTGTGATACCGAATTACATAACAATTATACGATACGAAATGGGGGAAAAAAAATTACAAAATGACCGAATGTTTAACTTAAAAATGTATAAAATTAAAAACTCACTGAATAAATTAACTATAAGAAATGTTGTGGTAAAATTGTTTGTTATTCGGTTCAAAATGTATTTGTGATGAAAAATATATCATATTATTTTATATTTAATATTCTCATAGAATATTTATAGAAGTAAAATAAGTTTTTTTATGCCCTAAAAAAATATATATATATATTATGAAGTAATAAAAAACACTTAAAATTATATCTGTTGCATGAGAATAGATTAAATTGGCTTTTAATTACAATTAATTAAAAAAATATGTATGTATTTCACTTTTGTACAAAAAATAATTAAAAATTGACTTATTAGCTTGTAATGTTGTTTTTAATGATACATAAGCATCAAACATCTAAAATTTAGTTTTCAAAATAACCTGCAAAGTATGTAAATGTTGTAGTGCAGTGAACATATCAGAGCCGACTAGTTCTAAGCCCCGTTTTAAGAATTAAGCTCTTAACTGTTTGCACTTATAATTTATCGCCAAAATAATTTAATAATACCAAAGATAAATATTATACTTATGTAAAATATTATATAAATGACAATTTATATTAACTTTTGAGAGTTTGCGTGATTGGCATTTAAACCCTTTAAAAAAAAAAACGTGCTACATCTCAATACGTGAAGTCAACCTGGAGGGACTGTCAGGTGTTCTCTAACATGCGAGCGCTCAAAAGTTAAGAGAACGTTAAAAGCGGATTTATAGCATAAAAATCAAGTTTTATTTGTTCTATTATGGTTTTAAAGTAAAATCCTTCGATGAAAACAAAGAAAAAGATATTTGAAGGGAATCAAATATTCTTTTCATAAAATATATATAGTAGCTATATATATAGATAAAATCAATAAAGCTGTTGTTAATGATGCCTTGATAGTGGGACAAAATAATTAACTACTAAAAGAAGAGTCTCAATAAACAGGGGGTTTAACATCTTCTTAAGTGTAAGTAGTCATAATTTACGTTGGTCCTATTAGTTAAAAAATATAAATATGCCAATAATTTCACTCTTTATAGCTGTTTAAAAATATCAATTTACCATAGGGAATATGAAACAATATGAATTTTGAATTATGAGCATAGTGAAGAATATGTGCAAGGCTAAGAGATTTTCCGCTTCCGGTTTGGCCATCTGTATAATGTTTTGCTAAGGAAATTTTGTATTTTAAGTTGCAAAAAAAAAATGTAAATTGATGATTAATTCTTTTCACAGTTAAAAGGATACATAATAAATAGCGGACTGCTGGTTTTTCATAATTAGCCAATTTTAGGTTGTTGATCACTTCCAATGCTGGTTTTCTGATCATTAGAGAAGTTTCCGCAAATACTTTAGTCATCTCAACAAAAGGTTTTGGAAGACCTCCAGTTTGAAACAAGTTATTGACCACTTTGGATTCGATTGTATAAAACTTAGAGGAGTCATTTTGATCGTGATCAATCTAAGCAAAAAATAATTTATTCAATAAGCAAATTTAAAATATTATTATTGTGCTAGTATCTACTAACTGGATTAGTTTTGGTGGAACGTGCAGCCGTTGGTACTTGATAATGCGCTTCTTGTTTGACCGCAGCGGTGGCATAACCACATATTCGACGATATAGGCGCATTATCGGCCGATATTGGTTGAAGGCCTTTTGAAATGTTAATTAAAATTAGACTTAAATATGTTAAAATAAAATATCGGGTACTACCTATGAGTACTTTGCCTTTTTATAAAGCACCGCAAGCCGCAAGGATCTTCAATTTTACAAGTGATAGCTAAATGATATTGATAAAGGTTATCTACTGAATGCTGATAACGAATCATATCAAATTTTGAATTAATAATAATAATTTAATTTTTTTTACTGAAAAATAATTTAAAGAAAACCATATTTAAACCAAAGTTATAAAACTATATTAATTATATTATTGTTCCGATATTCCATATTTATGAAATATATTTTTTTCTTACTTAAAATATTATGTAAAAAAATGGTTTTTCTGAATTAACTTCGTCAAATTGTGTTTTAAAACATCGGTTGGCAGTACTGAAAGTTCGGCGGTTTCACACAATTAGAGATATCAATAAGGTGCCCCTCCTTTTTTTTAATTTGCTCATATTCATAGTAACTGCAGTCTGCAACTTGCAGCTGCTGCAGCGTGCAAGTATTAATGACAATTATTATTGGCAATGGTAATAAGACATACGTTGTTATTTAGATTTTAGTGTTAACTGTTAAGTGTTGGTACTTGGTAATTTCCTAACGTTTTAGAACGTTTCCGACCAAAGTTGATTTTTCTTTAGTTTATTATGGGGAACGATTGTATATTTTAACCGTTGCCAAGCAAACATTAGTGACACCAAAAAATGTAAGTACCTATTTTTCAAATCAATATTATTTAAATTTTAGTTTTGACTTTTACTCTATTGTAGTATAATATAAAAAATATGTTTTTATCGTCTAAATTCTCCAAATTGAATGACCTGTGTTTAAATATTACCAAAACTACATATTTAATTATATGACCAGTAGAAAACAAACAAATATTTTATGTAAAGATTTTATTTTATTTTACATGAGGACGGATTTATAAGTGCATAGGAATTAGAAAAACCATGTATTCTTAGAATTTTAAGTGCCTTTTATTCTTAAGTGATAGTTTATAATTTAAAAAAAAAGCTTAACTGATTAGAGAACTTTTTCTTTACAATACTAATTAGTTTCATTGGCTGGCAAAAAAAGTTTAAATTATATTATAGGTATTAGTATAATACTATACCTAATATGCTTTATAGGTGTATATAATGAATATTTTGACTGGTTGAGAAATATTGTTAATTAGAAATATGTACAAATATTAAATCTGTGACGCATTATAAGTTATAGGTATAACTTTTAATATTGTTTTGCTTATAATCTGCCTTAATAATTCTATATAAAGGAATAACTATTTTAACTATTTAATTATATATTTTCTTTGTTAATTTTATGAATAAATAAAACTAAGTAGGATGGTTTCTCATTTACATACTAAAATATTGTTATAATGTATAATTAATTTTATTTCAAATCTGCTATTTAAAATATTAAATAAAATAAATATACGTTTAAAAGAGATTATACGTACATATTGGGCAACGTCTTATGTCCAGTATACTTTTCAGTTATAAGTAGATAAAACAAATACCTGGAATACTTGTTGGAATATTTATCATAACTGATTTGATTTTCCTGTTTCCAGGACAATTTCTGTGATATTTCTAGTTGAATAACAATTAAAATTTAATACAAAAATGATATAAAATACATGTTGAATAATAATGAACACTAAAGAACGTGCCCGTAATAGATGGAAATTACTGGCAAATACAGTCAGTAAAAAAAATCAAGACTGCATTTCTACACCAAACATAAGCTATGGCCTCTTTACTATCGAATGTATTCATGCAGGATGGTACAAATATTCTGTGTGTATTCAAGGCGATCAATTCTCAGCTAACATTTGCCGGTCTCCTATAAATGTTACCCCCGAGGAACTCATGGGCTTCAATAATACGGGCAATGTCAGAATATGGCCATCTGAAGAGATATTAGCTTACTATGTTTTATCAAATTTGAGTTTATTTCAAAATAAGACTGTATTAGAGCTGGGCGGTGGTATGAGTTGTTTGGCAGGAATTATGGCAGCGTTGTACGGTCATTGTCGTGATGTTCACTTGACTGATGGAAATCCGAATTCAGTATACAACGTCGAACGGATACTTGAGAAAAATGTGTTCACAACAAAAGTTTCATGTTCGGTTAGTTACGATTACATGCATTTATGTAATTTGAACACATTTCTTCGATGCACATGATGTCTTCAACTTGTTTATTGAGTTGTTAGTGCATGCGTATTATTATTTTTTTTAATATTTATGATTTTTGTACAAACATTTCTTGGTTTGTTATTATAACTAGTTTAAAAATATTTTTTTAATGTACAATTTTTCTATTAACAATACCTTCATTATAATAATTTTCCAAGTTTGTTTCATCTTTATTTAAAAACCACCATGTGTAATCTTGCAATGTATATAGTAGATTAATATATTTTTGTACTTATTACTCATAAACCATCAGCATGACCTACCAGAATCTTCATTAATAAATATTCCTGACTAGAGTAAACTCAGCATATTATGATGCTTAGGTACACTTTTTGCCTTGAATTAATGGCTACATTCACTGATTAGGTATTGAAATGGCACCAAAAGCCCGCAAACATTTGTCATTACGATGTGGTGTTGGCGGCCGACTGTCTGTTCTTTGACGAGGCGCGTGATGATTTGGTGCATACTATATCATCGATGTTAGCTTTTGGTGGTATCGCGTTGGTTGCAGCTCCAAAACGTGGGAATACACTGTACGAGTTTATTGAAATGGCACAACAGGAAGAGTTACACTGTGTTGTACAGCAAAATTACAATACCATAGTATGGGACTGTCATTCTAAACAGGTTTCATATAACTCTATGTATGATACTGACTCACATTACCCATTATTAATATGTATTACCAAACAGACTAAAATTATCGATTGCCAATTTCAGTAATACATTTTTGGTGCACAATTTATTTTTTCAATAACTGCCTCCTCAAAATGTATATCTATTATCTGCGGCAAACATAATGACTTCTTAATCTATTTTTTATTTATATTAGGTAATTATTAAAACTATAAGAAATTGTTTTGTTTCTTTAGATTCCAAGTTAAATTTTTAATACATTTATTTATAAAATTAAAATTCCTTAACTATAGTATATTTTTTTCTATATCTCAAAACTTACTAAATTTTAGTTAATTAGTTAGGATATACTTAGTTTATGTCATATAATATAAGTTAATATTCTTTATGAATCCTTACCACGTGGCTGTATCAAAGTATTCTTCGATTATTGTATTGTTCTAAATTATTTATTTCCAAACTGTAGCTATAGCCTTACCTATTAATTTTGTATACATTTATTAATTGTTAATTGAAATATTAGGGTACCTTGATAAGTAAATGTTACTAACTACCTAGTTTCATTTATTGTACATAAATACGAGTCTATTTCCTATTATTTGTAAAACATAAAAAAAGAGTTCCTTATTTAAATAGAAAATATTCTACTATAAAAAATTATTTAAACAGGGTGTCGCTTAGTTTGAATAGTTTCTTAACAATATTATATAGTTTTTATTAATTTTTTACTAATATTTCTCAACATTAGTCAAAATATTAATTTAGTTGGTTTTTTGTATCACCTATTGGCTTTTAAAACAAATACCTCAGTTACCTGTCTAGTCCCTACTAAGTATAAAATCATAATTTAGTGTCAACACTTGTGATATTAATCCTCAAAATTACTGTCAGGTTATATACAGTGAATAATATAAGTAGTACTAAATTAATAATGCGACTATTACTAAATAGTACACTTTGCGCACAGCTCATATTCAATTTATTGCTAATACTCAAAACTATGATTTTATATATTTAAATTTATATGCAAATTAATGACCAAAAATTAAGTTTTATGTTCAACCATCAATCCATTTTTCCATAAATTCTCTTTTTTTTTTGGTTGACCGTTTTTTTTTACTATTTGTCACTATATACATGTTATATCAGAGTATATCACCTAACTACTATTTGTTTGAAACAAAACTGTTTTTGTAAACTCCATTCAATTTATATTTTTCCTGTTGACGTATTGTCCCACAGTAAAACTTGCAATGTGTTAATTGAATGAACAAAATCTGCTGGTGAAAATAAATAAGAGTGAAAACAAATACAACAGTCGTTTCTATTTTGTCGCACACACACCATTGACCTAGTTTTTTCACATGTGTTCCTATGTATAATTTTTTAATGTATTGAAACCAGTAACATGTTGAATATATCCCTTAGTTAATTTATATAATAGTATAAACAATGATTAATGTTTATCTCTAGGTATTTTATTGTATTGGGTAAATCCCTATTGGCTATTCTTAAAATGTATTTTTCAAAGTCCATTTACTATAACTAGTATTGCCATAGTAATTATAACACCAATTTAATGTCTGTTGAATTTATTAAGTATGCAATAATTATATTGTGTGTGTTATGTTAATTGATTTTAATTGTTAACGTGGTTTAGTTTTATAGTTAATTTACTTAGGGTCCAAAACGACTTAATGATAATCACATATTGCCTATTAAATTCTCACTCGAGTATAGTTTAATAACTAGAAACATAATTTTATTGTTTATTAACTACACTATTGTTAATAAAACTAAATAAAAAGACAATTATTTTGTACAATGTTACCAACATTTTTTATAATACATTAATTATGAATAATATGTCATCTTTGGTCTTCGGCGAAGTATATAATTCTGTAATCTAGTTAACTTAGTTTTAGAGTCAGATGTTTTGGTATTTTCTATATTCCACAGTTTTTGCTGTAGTCGCTTAGATACTGTACGCATTGTCTGAGCGCTTACACCTGTACATTCAAATTCAAATTGCTGGTGTATTTTAAATTATCAATATATTAAATCTATTGTGATATACTTTAGAATTGAAAAGTCAATCGTTTGTAGTTTCCACTTTCCAATCAACATATTAAAATAAATCATCCAAAACTATATCGTTATATTTCTTAAATATTATATTATTATTCTTTATATTGTAACCACACTTTTTGTTGTTTCTATATTATTATTATGGGTTTTGAATAATTAATTATCGTCACGTGTAGTATCTAAGTAGAATAAACTCTAATGACAGATATGTTATTGTATTGATTAATATTATTCAAAATAATGTGTTTATTCGTTTTTACTTATGATATTATTATATATTATATAGTTATATTGTTATAAATTTAATTATCGAATATAATAATATACTACACAATGTACGTATTGTTCTCCAAAATCAAATTATTTTATTTTATTCGAGTCCGCCTGTTGTTTGTTCTGATTTTGATGAGCATCTTGTCAAGTACAAAAAAAGTATTGCTATGACGTTTGGTTGAGAAGCACGCGGATAATATTGTTACAATAGAGTATACAATGGTCAATGACAAGACAACGGTATTAGATAAATGAATGAAAAATAACATTTCTGTGTAACCGCTGGCTGTTGAGGATGCTCCTTATGAACACTTGACCCGATTTCCCATTGTTATTTTGTTCTTTCTTAAAATTACATTTTTTTTTTTTTGGTTCTTCACTACGTATAGTAAATAGTAATAAATTTTGTCATAAACTTTCCAGAATGATAAAAATTATTATTTCAATAGTGTGCCGTTTTCAATCGTTTGTTTATTATTTTTTGGAAATCCTCTATCACAATGTTGTGTCATAATATGTGATCTCGGTTTTCTAACAACTTTTATAAAGGTTTTCACTCGAATTGCATTATTTATGAAACACGCATTATACAAGATCGATTTACAATATTTGTCCATCTGATTTGTTTATCGGCCGAAAAAGATGTATTATAGGTACAAACGTTGACAGCTAAAGTAAGAAAAATGCTCGCTGTTACACAAGTAATGTCATGGAACATCTTGTATTCGTTTTTTGAAAATATATCATATGAATTCGTTTTTCAAATGCATGTTGCGGAATTGATCACTAAGTTTTGTGAACAATACACCGAAACCAACTGAAAATTATTGTTGATTACTGAATTTCAACGAGCAATGGAAAAATACGCTCTTTATTGAACTTGCCGATAATGGCTGATCGTGTATTTAATAGAACAAAAACAGCAACAAACATAAAAAATTATAATCTTAGCAATAGCCAATATATAGAACTCGAATGCCGAAATAATTAATCATTTAATTATAATAATTTGTTTAACTTCTTCAAACTTCAAAAATTGTAATTTGTAATTACGAAAAGATTGAGAAGTAAAATATTTGCTGATACTTTGATGGCAGGTTGATTGTGGTTTGATATTTTGTTAATGTGGTTACTAAAGGAGAGTAGAAACTGGAAACTGTCACCCAGGTACTTAGTCAACTAGAATGACAAAATATAATTGACTTAGTGTGTAGTGAAGTGCAAAGTAAAAGTACTCGCTGATCAATGAAAGACGGTGTCAGTACAGACTAGGAAATACTTCATTTTGCACGTAATGTAACACAGTTTTTTGTGTAGAGCTGTAACTAGTAGTGACAGTTAAGATCTATGACACGTATACGCTTTTTATTTGTGTTAAAATATTAAGGGAGAACCACTGCCATTCCTCCGGGTTTGAATTCACGTGACACCTTTTATAGATAGTAATCTACAATTCTTTGACAATAAATTAGATATTGTTTGTTCTCAGTTCAAATTAAATTCGCCACTACGGCCAATCATTAAAATGTTGTCTTTTTACTGTTAATGCTTTTGAATTTGCATTATCAAAATAATTTTATGATGCAGTTAATCATAGTCATAGTACCTAATAGTATATTATGAGAATTTATAATTTGTTCGTGATTTGTAGTTATCTGCTCTTACCTACCTCGTCCATTAATAATTATTAGTTATAAGTTAAACTATATATTATATAGTAAGATATGTGTCTACTCATGCCTTTGTATACCATAGAAGCAGACAAAACAGGAAGCATTGGACGCATTTTCGGATTCCCTACCTAGTGTTGTAAGTTGTTAGGCTGCGTGTACACGACGATTTTAGTTTAATCTCATTTAAATAACCACAAAGTCCAGATGCGATAAAACTTCCAGTAACTCTACCATCAAAATTCGACGAAACCTTTTAATTGTTTTCGTATCGTTTATTATTACACGTTTCGGTTCATTTGTTTTGTGTATACTTTATTATTCATCCTTTCAAATGAATAAAGTTCAAGCGGGTTAAGTCATAAAAGGAATATTTTAAATGTATAAGCTTAACAATGAACGGGTGCGTAATTAGTACTTATCATTTAAACAAAGTTTATTTAGGTACAAAAAATAAAAGGTTTTAATTTAAATTTTACAGTAACATCACCATTAATATATTAGAATGGTTCTTATTTGGGCTATGAATACTTTTCTAATCAAATACCTTCCAAGTCTGTAAAAAATTATTTTTTTTCTTCAAAGTAATACAGATTTTATTTGCTCTTTTTTACAAAATTAAATATGTTTTCTAGAATTGGACAAAAATTTAGTGGTTTGTTAAAAAAAAAAAGCTAAACAACGTTTTTTCGGCAGAACTTAACTCAGACAGAAAGAGACTACCATTCTATTGTGCTCCGAAATTGTGCCAACTAGGCACAAGCTACACAAAAAAAGTACAATGAAGAATATAGTATAGTAATAGAGTATTATAAAATAGAAAAAAAACTATCTGAAGATAAATATTTAATTAAATAAAGCGTTAATACGTTGCTGTATTATTTTTTTGAAAATTTATTTTTACAAAGAATAATTTGTAAAAAATATGTATCTCATTATATAATATAGATTAAATAGGAAAGATTTGGACGGCCCATAATTAGCATACAGTGAGTATACGCCGTGTTACCGCGATTATGGAAATGGGAATCAAATACACATCTAAAGATGAGAAGAATAATTGTGCGCAGTCATACCATTTTAATGTGCGCTGGTCGTTATTAGAGTCTTTAAATAAAATGCATCGATAAACAGTTGCCAAAAAAGTCAATTCACGTGAGGTGCCTCGTTATTGACGCCACTATAATACTTAATAATATCAGTTTATGTTTTTGTATTATCGATAAACAACTTTTCAACGGTATTTCATTTTAAATCCTAGATGATGTTTGTATAACCGTAATGGCTTCGGGTTACATTTGTGATTTGTCCGATGTAATCCAATTGATTTCGTCTGGCTTATACCGACGCCAATTCCTTAAGAATCGTACTTAACAAAACTATAATTTTAGTTTTTTTTTTTTAATAGATTTTTATTAAGATGCGTCTATATGCACATGCGTGTCTTATTATAATTTATAATACATTATGTTCAAAATGAAGCATAAAGTGTAGTAATGATTTTTAAAAACTTTGGAGTTTTTATACGTTATATTTAATATTATTATTACCCTGAGAAACAGCTGCATGTCGAATCTCGAGTTAATTTACTACGATTTCCCATTGTGGACGTTTTAAAATTAATTTTATTTGCATAGCATTTGTAACATCAAACAGAGTATTTATTTTTGTTTCGATGCCGAATCTAAAACAATATTTACAACATTTGCTTTTCCAATAGGGGTTTTCTTTTGTTTGGACCCATGATGATACCGTTTTAACCGCTTGGTACTGATTCCTTCATATTTATACACAGCAGCCATCGCTTCTCGAACTCATGGTTAATTGACTCATTCGCCTATAGGACCAAAACAGTCTGGTTACAAATCGCACGCATACACATAGAACAAAATGCCTTTAGTCATCCTTAAAATCAGTTAGAAATCTTCATAGTTGTTAATTGGAAATACCTTCCATTGATAACATACTACATGTACTTCAAGAAAATCGTCAGTAAGAAACCCAGTAAAAAATTCCGTCATAGTTAGGTTTTCAGCTAGTGTAAAATTCAACAAATAAGTATTTTAGTTACAATTTTGGAAAAATAAAAAATAATGGAATGAAACCAAGTTTATAGATGTTCAACAAATTGGCATTAAAAATCAAAAGTTTGTTTATAAGAATCCAGGATGTAAACATATATACGCTAGAACTACTCTGCTGATTTTTCTCCACCGTGGCCAAAGAGCGGAGAGTGGACCCCTTTTTTATGCAAAGACCAGATTTAAAGAAGATCACAATGCTAAAATTTATTTTTTTTTAATGGTTTTCTTATTATAATAAAAACAATGAAAATTGTCAAAAAAATTGTTATCAACGAGATACTGATGTTTGAAAAGTTATCTACTGTTTGACTTCATAGAGCCTACAAGTCGACGGCCGCCTATGATTTAACTGCTTAAAACAATAGCGTGACTTAAAATTGAATACACAATCTAGTTATTTTATATTACATAAACATAAATAATGTAAATTTCGTAAAATTGAGTGCGTGTTGAACCGTTGTGTGCCGCCGTTTTTCAACGAAACAACTCTTTTAGTATTTTTAATATTTCAAAACAACTAAACACTCTATTAAAAGTCTAGTTTCACTGTCGTCCTCGGTGCAAAAAACACATAAAATATTTATAACGAAAATTCAAAAATATAATCTAAAGGTAGGTAAATTATCTTGTGGAGTGAGCAAAACTTTCACATGTGTAAGATAGACAATTACGAATAGACGGGCCCAATGACGTCACGCAGCTTTTTTCAATTCCTTTTAGATCGTTGAATAATTTGAGCACTAAACAGACACGTGAAACCTATACCATTTTTATTAGAATTGAATATATTTTCAAACTAAAATAACTTATTTTTTGTGTTTTGTGTTCCTGTAAGGTACCTAGTTTCAGTAGTTTTCTTCACTCCCAGCAGGTTGTTCGTCGAAAGTCAGATTAAATCCTAAATGCTTTCAAAGTTAGTACTTGCGTTTTGAAAACAAGTTACATGCGTTACTAATACTTGGCGAAATGGCGACTAGCAAAACAACTCCCTGCGGATGATCTCCTCCTCAGCTTTCGCCCTCAAAGCAGCACCAAAATATAGATACTTCCCTCCAGATTTACCCCGGTAGAGAACATTTAGGCGAACTCGTAAGCATATTAGTTACCGTTAAGACATGCCCCGGAGAAGGATACGGATTAAAACTTATTCAACGGAATTTTAT